ATGTTCTGCTCCTGGACTAGCTGGTTGGATCTATTCTCTACACTCTCCCCATGCACAGGTTGCAGCTGCAGGATTAAACCTCAGGCATGTATGCCAGGCCTGAGCTGTGCCTGGAGAGGGCAAGGTGAAGTTGGAGGAAGAGGAAGCTCTCCGCACACTCACCGGACCTGGGCTAGGACTGGGTCTGGGGGCTCCTGGAACTCCTCAGAAAATCCTACTCAGCAGGCGGCGTGGGGGAGGCACTGCGGAGTGGTGGGGGGCGGCCGAAGGGGCTGGGAGAGGGTCCGGCTCACGCTGCGCCTGGGCTGGGACTGGTCCCGCCGGCGCAGGGTAGCAGGAAGCTCTCCGCACACTCACCGGACCTGGGCTAGGACTGGGTCGCTTCATCTTGGTCTTAACCATCCAGCAGAAAAGGGTAACAACAAGTTATAAAAAGTAACGTTATAATAATGTGCTGAGATCAAGTTGAGAACTTCGGACTTTTTCCAGTTCTGCTGGTAACCTACTACTATTGAGGACCATTGGACTATAGTGGGTTATTTTGCTCAACTAAAGTATGTACAGTATTTGAACTGGCATCAAGTATGAAATAGTTCTTTAAAGACTTCTGCAAATACAGCTTCTCTAACAGCAATGTGACACCCATCTCTCAAAAAGCAAAACAAAAATAGGGAATAATAATGAAGAACGATTTTGTAGTGAAAAAATTGTATGCATATACAAAATAGGTAGGATAGATACAAAGCCATATATATAAGTTATATTTATTCTCTTAGTTCAATGATAAGAAAGTTTTGTACTAATATTATTTAGAGAAAATGTCATGTCTGCATCTTGTCCTCCGAAAAGCCAATATGAAGACAACAGTATGCAAGTTATTAATTATTGTAACAGTCTTCCTAATGTGTTTTGAAACTGTTTCAGATTATTAATAGCTACTTTGAGAATCTTTACTCTCACATAATAGAAGACACAGAAGAAAGAGACAGATTCCTAGAAAGGTACAAATTACCACAACTGAATCGACAAGATATAACCACTCTCAATAACCAAATAACAGGCAATGAAGTACCAGACATAATTAAAAACCTACTGACAAAGAAATGTCCAGGTCCTGATGGATTCACAGCTGCATTCTACAAGAAATTTATGGAAGATATAATCCCAATACTCCTCAAACTCTTCGATGAAAGTGAAAACAAGCTGTCCTCTCAAAATCATTCCTGGAGGCAAGTATACTGATTAAAAAAAAAAGAGAAAGACACAACTAAGAAAGAGAACTACAAGCCAGTCACCTTCATAAACATAGATGCAAAAATCTTCAATAAAATCCCAGCCAATAGAATACAGCAAATCATGGAGAAGATTATACACCATGACCAGGTAGGATTCATCCCAGGAATGCAAAGATGGTTCAATATATGCAAATCTATAAATGTAATATATTATATCAATAGAGTAAAATCTAAAAACCACATGATCATCTCAATTGATGCAGAAAATGCTTTTGACAAAGTCCAACACACATTCATATTCAAAGTCCTACAGAAAATTGGAATAGATGGCTTCTACTTCAATATAATAAAAGCCATCTATGACAAACCAATGGCTAACATAATTCTAAATGGGGAAAAATTAAAATCTTTTACTCTTAGATCTGGTACAAGACAAGGATGTCCTGTATCATCACTCTTATTCAATATAGTTCTGGAATCACTAGCTTGAGCCATTAGACAGGAGAGAAAAATGAAACAAATAAGAATAGGTAAAGAATAAGTTAAATTATCCTAATTTGCAGATGATATGATACTTTACTTGTAAAACCCAAAAAGTTCCACCAAGAAGATACTAGAATTGAAATACAAATTCAGTAGCATAGCAGGATACAAAGTCAACACCCAAAAGTCAGTACCTTTTCTCTATACAAACAACAAACACAGTAAGAGGGAAATTATAGAAACAATACCTTTTACAATAGCACTGCAGAAAATGAAATATCTTGGAATTAATCTAACTAAGAAAGTCAAAGATCTTTTCATGGAAAATTACAATACTCTGAAAATAGAGATCATAGAGGATTTCAAAAATGGAAAGATATTCCATGCTCCTGGATAGGAAGAACCAACATTCTGAAGATGGCCATACTCCCAAAATTGCTGTAAAGATTTAATTCAATCCCTATCAAATTACCATCAAAAACGATCATAGACCTAGAGAAATCATTCCTAAAATTTATTTAGAATCAGACAAGACCTGGAATAGCATAGGCTATCCTGGGCAACAAAGACAAGGCATCAGGTATTACAATTCCTGACTTGAAATTATACTACAAGGCTACTATGATAAAATCAGCATGGTACTGGCAACAAGACAGACTTGAGAATCATTGGAGTAGATTAGAAGACAGAAACCTCTATGAACACACTCAGCCACCTTATATTTGAGAAAGGGGCCAAACATGCTTACTGGGAGAAAGATAGCCTCTTAAACAAATGGTGCTGGAAAAACTGGCTCTCTACATGTCAAAAACTAAAACTTGACCCAGGTCTTTCACCATGCACTAAACTAAAGAAAAAATGGATTAAAGACCTAAATGTTAAAACAGAAACACTAAATCTCCTGTAAGAGAAAGTAAAAAGAACTCTTGAAGACATAGGGTAGGCAAAGGGTTCATGAGCAAAAATCAAATTGCACTGGTAACACGTGAAAGAATTAACAATTGGAACCTCCTGTTATTGAGAAGTTTTTGCATGTCAAAAGAAATTACCAACAAAGTGAAAAGATGACCCACAAATTTGGAATAAATCTTGACTAATAAGTACTTAGATAAAGGTCTGTTCTCTAGAATTTATTAAGAACTAGAAAACATTGGGGTGCCAAAATTAAAGACCCAATCCAGAAATGGGCATCAGAGATGAATACACACTTCTCAGAGGATGAAATTAAAGAAGCGAATAAATATATGAAAAAATGCTCCACATTACTAGCCATCTGTGAAATGCAAATTAAAACAATACTGAGATAACATCTCCACAATGAACAGCTATCATAAAGAAATCGGCCAACAACAAATGTTGGAGAGGCTGTGGGGAAAAACGAACCCTTCTCCACTGCTGGTGGGAATGTAGACTGGTGCCAATGTAGACTGGTGCAACCATTATGGCAATCAGTGTGGAGACTCCTTAGAAAAGTTGGACTGGAAATCCCATTCAAACCAGCTATCCCCCTACTGGGAATTTTCCTGGAGGAACTGAAAATATCATATCATAGTAATATAGGTGTGCCTATGTTTCTAGCAGCACAATCTGTGATAGCCAAATCTTGGAAACAACCAAGTTGCCCATCACCTGAGGAATGGATGGAAAAGATGTGGTATTTTTATACCGTGGAGTATTAATCAGCTATAAAGAAGGATAAACTCAAAGTCTTTATATATAAGTGCATGCCACTTGAAGATATAAGTGAAATAAACCAGACACACATGTGTAAATATTATATAGTCTCCCTAGTATAAGAACTCAGAGGCAGAAATAAAAATAGAAAGTCATAACACAAATAAAAGGAAAGTGAGAACTTGAAGATTAGTTAATTAAGAAAGGGCAAGAAGAAAAGCTAGAAAACGTGACAGGGCCAAAGTCACACATTTATGTGCACAAGATGGGAAATGCAATGGTCCTGAGAATCTTCAGCATGTTTTTGAAAATAGCAGTTCATTGATAGGTTTCTCACCCTGACTAACTATACATGCTGATACCTGTGAACTAAGCAACTGCACTGAAGATAGCAATGTGTCATACTAGGGTCATGCTTGGAATGCCTGTCATTCTGGTCCTCTAAATATATACTCCTTGTCATAACATATCAATTACATCCATAATGTCTCTCCAGTAAAGGTTTGTTTAAAAAGGGTAATAAATGAAAACATGAGACAGAATTCACAGGACTGTTGTGCTACAAGGCTGTATATTATTAGATTTCTACATTTCTCTGTAAAAATATGTAAATGATTATTCTTTTTTGTAAGTTTTTTATCATTTTAATCTTTTTTATTCATATTATTGAGGGACTCGAAGTTTAGCATATCAATACTTGATGGAAAATACCTGTTCCATGTTATGCCTAAGATGTTTGATATTCAGACTGATAGAGAGGCTAAGCTCAATTGCCTATGTTATAGGACAATAATATCATTAAGCTTCTCTTCTGGAGAGTTAACAACTTAAGTTT